AGTCGGGGCTGTCAGTACTGCCTGATCTCGGTATGATCCGAGTACTGCTGTGGGGTGGAGGGGCCATTCTTGTTGGGCACCCGGTGTTGCGGTTACAGCAGTCTGTGTACAGTGTACTGCTAAACCTTTGGTGGAAGGGTCATGGTGTTCTACGAAAGCCAGGTCCTTGGCAGCCTGATCTCCATTGGTTGGTAGCGGAACGTACCGGAGGCGATGCCAAGCGCGCTCCATGATAGATCTTGCCGCTTTTGCCATCTCTTGGAGATTTGCGAAGACCATGTCTTCCGAGAGATCTTGAAACTTCGGATGCATTTGTCTGCGTACTCTTTGCACCTTTTCATAATCGGGCACTGGCTTTCCAATGCGATCGTAAAATTCTGCAATCACGTGAATGAAGTGTTTCAGATTTTCTTGCGGGTGTTGGGTTCGTCTCTCAAGCTCTTCTTTCAGTCTATGTTTGTAGTCCACTGAAGCGAACTCCGACTGGAACTCTTGGACAAAAGACTCCCAGTTGTCGAATCCCCCCGTGAATTTTCACCATAACTTGGCAGTTCCCTCGAGTGCAGCGGGCACCACTTGGCGCAGGCACTTGTCCTGAGGTACCCCAGTTAGCGAACAAAACATCTCTAGCTTCTCCAGGAATTCTTTAGGCGTTTGCGTATCTTCGTAGCCGATGAATTTCGGGAGTGATAAATTTAGGCACTTCCACGGCATGCATCCTTGCTGGGAAGCACGATCTTCCAGAGATGCTACCGGCGTGTTCATGAGCAAGTCCCGTACTTGTACAGCCATCCGTTCGCGGTCCATTGTGGACCCGCTTGTCAGGGCTAGGAGTTCCTGAACAACATTGCCTGGCGTCGTTTGTCCGGAAGGCGTGCTTACATTTCCGTTGGCTTCCATGTCGACTCGTAATTCCTTAGGACGAGCCCCCACTTGTTAGGGTCTAGGGGTTTATTCTACATAAATTCACTCCACCGAGCTATTTTCCAACTGTTTGAGTCCTAACTTCCTTCTTCTCGCTCGTGTCCGGCCTGGCGCACGCTCTGCTGTCCCATCGCATTGTCCCCCGTGAGCAACAATGCCTTGATGTGCCACCCGTTGGGCAGGGCATGAACTCCGTGCCCAGCACGGTGTGTGGCGCGCGAGCGCCTATGTTCTTTGCATAGCCGTCGCACGCATAGCCCGCACCCCTCACACCGTGACAGTTTTGTATGGCGCAACAATACACTTCATTGACCACGCTAAATGACTGTTTTATATTTTTTTCTCCCTAAGAGATGATGACACTTCTGTTAACGTCATCGCGTTTGAAGATTTCTTTGAACAGCGATTAATTCTATTGCACCTACATGGGTTTCGTTGGCGGAATACCGACCTCGCATTTACAGACAAGGAATCGTTACTGTGTGAAATTCTTAAAGTAAGATTTGTAATGTTCGCTTTCATTATCTTTTAAACCTATGAAATATTAATATTTCGACAACTACCTGTATATATGTTCTTGCTCAGCAACTATACTTGACCATAGAACAGATTAGAACGTATTGAAAGACGGTAATGATACTGTCCGGAACTGCACAAGCACCACTTTCATCACCAATTTGTTTTATACCCAATTCACAAAGCAGCGTAAAGGTACATTTAGCTTAGGTCCCTCAGCTGAAGGTACCTGTAGTAAACGGCGTTCTTGATCACACGATAAATAAACGGTCTGAGTAATAGTATAGTAGCAGTAGTAGTAGTAGTAGTAGTAGTAGCGGTGGTAGTAAGCTATAATACAAAGGTTTGTGTGTTCCATTGTGTATCCAAACTTCCGTTAGATTTTTTTTTGTGCATCTGTTGATCTGAGGATCCGAACCATAAAAGAAGAAACTGCAGAAAGAAAAGCAAAGCTTAAAAGAAACAGCAAGTAGGCAAAACAAGCCTTTAGGAAACTTTTTGTAATTTATTTTTACTCTAACTTAATCCTGCAACACCAAGCAGGCAAAGCAAGCCTTCACAAAACTTGTCATTGTAATTTATTTTCATTCTTGTCTAATAATTAAACCAGTTTTGTGTATTAGTATTATTTCATATGATGTTATTTGTTTAGTTATTGTGATAAAACACCTGCGATAAGCCGAAACAGGCTTTTGAGCCAATATGTATCACATTAGTTTCTAATAAAGTCATTGTTTTAAATACTTGTGATTTGTTTTGCTGTACCTGCATGGTAGGACTTATGAAGTTGCATGTGCACAAATGGCAGTGGTATGAGCTGAGACAAAACAGCTATCTTTGTTGTTAAATATGAAGATTCCTTCAATTTATTGCCACCCACCTGTCCACTCAAAGCAGGCATGTAGCAACAGAACATGCTGGTTCACACCAGTCTCATGCCAATAGTCGATGTCTGATAAAAAAAAATACAAGCTATTGTAAATGATAAGTGTAATCAAACTAATGGAAAGTTAAGCTGCCGATTAAAAAAAGCCTTTCACTTTTTTCTGTTGTGTACAAATTGCAATGTAACAAAAGAATGGTGTCCTGAAAGCATTTTTTGTGTTTCATGATAAATTTTAGAGCAGCATTCAGTTCAGCATCGTTAAGACCATCATCATTTATTTTTTCCTGTTTCATTAAAGAAAATTGCAAGATATTAGTTCTGCATTTTGACGTTTACTCTTGCAGACAATTGATGTTACCGCTTCTTTTAGGTGGAATCGAAGTTTCCATTTCAACTTTTATACTTTCACACAGTTGATGTTACTATTCTTTTTTTAGGGAAATTCAAGTTGAAGCTCGCAAGCGGTAAGAAGTCTCCTAACGATCACAATGCCTCTTTTTTTAAAACAAACTGACACTTGACAGGGCTGCTATACTCCAGACAAAGTGACAGCCAGCACTGACTATCTTTCGGAGAGTCGCTCATACACTTCCATGACTCTTTTGCGATAGGAGTCGGGGGACTCTTCATATAAGGACGGTCCTCACAACTCTTGTTACAGTGTCACGGGGATTACCAGGAAAGAGTCCTGTGACTCTTTTTCTCCGTTGGATAAGAGTCATTAAAGAGTCGTAGTTGACTACGTCACCTGGAGTAGCCCATACACTACCATGACTCCAGTGTGATGAGAGTCGCAGGACTCTTTTTAAATAAAGGCAAGTGACTCTACAAACTGGAGTCATGGAGGAGTCATATCTGTAGCGCGCAAATACCCCCCAAAGGGAGTCATAGTGACTTTTTTTTTTTTAAAGAGTGTACGATGACTGATCCGCGACGTCTCCCAGATTCGAGATTGGCTTCACACAATAAGTGAACGAAATACGACACTTAACAGCGACGTGACGTACGTGCGTGAAAGCAAAGAAACTTACGACTTATTGTTTACAATATAGTTGCAAAGCAAATTACCACTGTAGATTACGAGTCAATCAGGAGGCGGTGATTTGATTTTGCGCCGTTCTTCATGAGGTCGCTTCGGAGCTGTTCTTAAAAGCACGTGTGCCTAATTTTCGTAGTTCTTGAATTGTATGACAGCTTGTCGACAAGATTAGTATCAGACGTGGTTATGAAAAATGTGTGAACCACTTCGCAAAAGATTTAATTAGCGGAATCGTTGGCCATTATTCACAATAACACAAAGGTTGTCGGCAAATAATTATGTGCTGATTTGCTGGTTGTCGAGAAAAAAAAAAATTTAGTAACAGAGCAAATGGGCTAGCAGGACGAGAGATAAAGCATACAAACACGCAGACACGCACTTATGTTGACTTCGATTGGGTATGATCGTGTCACAAAGGTAAACCATATCTCAGATTTCTTGGAGACCACCCAGCGTGACGGAGGAGCCAGAATTGCGTCGCAGACCACTTGAGTCCGGTTAACACGTGCAGTAATATTCGCTCACCGAGCGCAATCTCGCTTGTGAAATTTATACGCACCACAAGAAGCTTCAAACAAGCTTTCTGCTCTACTTGAATCATTGAAGAGGTTAAAACAAGCTCAATTTTCGTGGGGATGTACGTTGACGACCACTCGACTGCCAACAGACAGTGGCGTCGGAATTTTTTGGGGAAAGGGCCGCGGGGGGGGGGGGGGGGGGGGGGGGGGAGGAGGAGGTGGGGGGGGGAAGGAACTTGTCACATATTTTTTTTTTATTCTTTAAATGTCGGGGAGGAAGGGGGGATTCCTTGTCTCCTGTTCAGACGCCACAGCAAACCAATAGCGCTCGTGCTAGGTTTGCCAGCCTGGTTTGAGCTAGCCCTCGACGTGTTTACATCAAGTTCTAGATTCAGTAGCATGGTCTCGTGTTTGTTGTGATTCAATTTTTTTTAATCGTCATGTTATCTACTTTTGTGGGTCATGTGGCAAGGTTCTAGCAAATGCTAAGCAGGTGAAAACATAACATCCACCATAAAAATACCTGCGGGATGGGGTGGAAAGACGGGCGCAGCAGAGGGGCTCGCGCCCAAAATTGCTGTCGCTCTCTCGAGGAGCTTCATTTGAAACACGCATGATATTTAGGAGAAATTTTTGCCCTATTAAAGCGAACATTGCCGACTTTCCACTGCATCATTCGGATCTTGAACAAGCAAAACCGATGATGACGGAACTCCATATGCGAAGACGGCATTCTTGAAGGGGATAAACGTAATAATCTTTCGTGTAACGAAGTGAAGTGAACGAAATAAATAAACAAAATATGTGATTTCTTATGACCGGGCCCATGCACATTTTCCGGGCTATCAAAGGCACGGACGCGAGAGCGCGCAGCTGGACAACATTGTTTGTTTCCACTAAAGCACTCGCCAGGAAAGCATGTTCGAAGGTCACTGGATGCGCCGCGTCTGTCAGCGCACCGCATCAGCTAAAGGAAGCTTCCCAACTCTTCTATTCTATGTCTTTCTCTGTTCTTTATTACTCCTGTGGGTCGCTTGTTTTATATACAGCTTTCTTCTATTTTCCAAGCACGACGGATCCGGTTTGCGCTCTTGTGAAGGAAAGCGGGTGGTAGCATTTAGCACCCCGGTTGACTTGACGCCGGACGCCACTGCTCGCGTTGTCTGCCGCCAGGATGCTGTGGATCCAGGACAGGTAAGGCACCACGTTGGTGTACACTCCGGGCCTGTTGGGAAGGGCGCAGAAGTGACCCCAGGACACGATGCCGATCTGAACGGCTGTGTCATTCAGGATTTGGAAGAGGGGGCCCCCGGAGTCGCCCTGTAGAAACATGAGACCAGCTATAGTCTTGAGGCCAGATTCACGAAGAGTTTCTTAGGTTACGTCAACATAAGAAGTTCGAAAGTTAAGAGCATCGTAAGTGGAGACGTCTGTATTCACTAATGCGTTCTAAGTGAGAGCACGAACGCGACGTTCTTGTACAGAAAAACTATAACTTGTGGAGTCCTGCAAGCTCCCGATCCCCGTGACAGCGGGCTGTTGCTATGGCGACGGTATCTTTGGCAACACGAATACCCAATCTGAGAGCCCGGCATGGTTCAGAGCACCTCGATTTTGAATAACAAACGCAGGCGGCCTTTCCGCCAACGCGAATTCGGGGTTCGTGTCCGCGCAGTGGAATGTCGACGCTAACACCATTTGAACGGGCCCAAATGTTGTCAAATGCCGTGGCCGTAATAACCGCCTTCGTCGACTGCTACGAACTCGATCGCTACGAAGTGAACACAAGTGTCATCGTTGCTAAAAGAAGACTGCCGGCCGCGCCGGTCGTTTGCAAAGGGGCGTAAATAAACAAATCTCTGCACCGTTTTTCGTGGCTCCAGACATGCGGGAGCGAGCCGACGTCCAAGATACGTTTGGACCAGGGTTGGGCAGAAATACTCTAAAAAAAATTTGGAAATACACATACTGGGATGCATGACAAAAGCCGCTAAAATACTCTTGCTGAAAGACATTCATAAAACTGTTGCGCGATACGTATCAGTAATACATTTGAAGAATAGAAAAGTGTTTAGAGATAGAAATACATGAATATACTTTGGTGGGGCTGAACAGAGGCTTTAAATTACATTGTTATAAAAATATTATTTTATATAATTTGGTGTGCACTCCTTGGAGCATACGAAGATCAAAAGAAGCATGTTCTAGAATACTAGATTTTGTTTTTAAACAAGAACGCGTGTTCTCACTGCAAGTTTGAGCCTGAATTAAGCTCAATCAAATGTACCACTGAATTAACATCTTGTATTTTGGAAAGTAGTGAGGGAAGCAAGTGATTTTTTCTCCATAGCTCGAGCGCAATTTTATTTCGGCATCTCTTATTTTTCTAAGACAAAATCTCAGGGTCATTTAAATAAATTTTATGTTTTCAGAAACAACCTCGAGAAATCACTATATTTAGGTCCCGTCCGGATGCCTCTTTCAGCAGTGACCTTATAACGTTACCGTATAATGAAGCTTAAGGATCCCGTATCCTTTTATATGTTAGTTGGGTGCGCCGACAGAGCTTTCAACTTTTGCAATAATCTGGAATAGTTGTCCTCCTGAACTCTGGCGGCTCCTCGGCCCAGATGCCCGACTACGGGGCCCAGGGGGCCAACTTTCCCGCGTGGCGGCGGAGTCAAGCCGGCCATGCGCACATTGCGCGCGCCGCCTTCATAAGGCGGATGAGAGGCGGCGCAGAGGCAGTCGCTGCCCGGACACTCAAGCTCCGCCGGTAAAGGCGTTAGAGTATTGATCGTCTCGTCCATGTTCAATTAAATGCATGCAGTTGAAACCGCTGGCTCTGTGTTAAAACTCTGAATCGGTTATGCAGCAAGCCAAGCCGACCACAACTTTTGCACAATAAAGAAGAGAGTCACGTGCGGTCAGAGACACAAAACTTCCCTGACGAAACTTGGTCGCGGTACGAAAATGCACCCGAAAAAGTATTTCGATGCAGAAATATCAAATCACAGTTGAAAAATTGTATAGCGATACAGAAATGTAAATACATTATGCATTTTGAAACGCTATCGCTATACTGCCCAACCCAGGTTAGAACTAGAGTGTCAGCAAGAGCCACGTAAATACCCGTTTACATTCGGAGTGGACGCGCGCGTTTGGTCGAAGTGCTGGATTCGCGCTGTTGGACCGCGTCTTGGTAACCGCTTTGGGACCGATATTTTACGATTGCTACTCGATGGTGACCTGACACTCGGCAAAAGAAGGTTGGACCGGCATCGCGTACCTCCCATGAACTGTTCTAGCTCGACAGTGTTGACTTACCGGCGTGTCCAAACAAAAATGGCATACTAATAAAAAAGTGTACATATCATATGTTGCGCAGCTTGATAATCCATACGGCGTTTATATGAGCTCTGGATCATACAAAAAAAAATGATAAAATCGATGAGAGTTCCTTTTCGACGAAAGCCTTCGTGGAAAAGGGAATCTCATCGAGGCAGCCGTGACGAACACGTCCTTCACCGCTGCCTCAAGAAACAATTGGATGACAAGGGGAAAGCTTGTCTTCTTTATCTAAAATTAAGGGCAGCGATCAAATTATTCATACAGGAAGGGCCCATTAGGGTAGCGAGGGCAGAATGCGTTCAGAAAGCCAGCCGGTCGTGGGCAGACGATTTCGGCCAGGGTCCGTCGAAGAAACTCTGCGTTGCAGCACGTCGAAGTGCCTTCCATAGATCTATATTCTGCCGAGGTCGCCGAGCTCGGCAGAATGTACAGGGTGATTCAAAGAGATTCCAGGCCCTTTAAATTGACAGCAAAATTCGGTTTCTTAACTCATCGCGCAACGATTTTGTGCAGCGTTGTTCACAGATAGTGCATTTTGTTTTGTAAAATTTGCAAAGAGCGAACTCACCTAAGGAAAAAGTAAAGAAAGAAAAAGGCTTAGCTCCTATGGAAACGCAGCGACGCCACCGGTCTTCAAACAACACGGCGCCGTTTCGCACGGGACACAAGAGATGGCGCAACGAACGCCGCCAACGAACGAGCATACGGCGCCGAGAGCCGGCGTCTTTAGCAGACAATCTTTTCGACTCAAAAGCGGCGCGCGTTCGGCAGGCGGCGACAGTCGCAGAAACAAAAACAGGCGCGGTAACAACAAGAAACTGCAGTTCCTTGTCTGCTAAAGACGCCGGTTCTCGGCGTCGTATGCTCGTTCGTTGGCGGAAGTTGGTGTCGCGACCGCTTGCGGTCGCAACGCCAACTGCCGCCAACTGCAAAATTTGCAAATTTTATAAAAAAAGAAAAAAAAAAAGCACCATCTGTAGGCAACGCTGCACAAAGTCGTAGCGCGATAGGTTAGGAAACCGAATTTTGCGGTCGATTTAAAGAGCCTGGCCTCTCCTTGAATCACCCTATAGGTCAAGGTCCAGGTTCGTCGTGGTCGGTTTAGAGTACTTTCTTTTTTCTTGCTACTTGAAGTGGGAACGCGAGACATGAGCACGTAGACAAATAAATGTCTGCTGCTCGTCTCGACCAAGCAACTTTGCGACGCTGTCGGCCATGTTGATTGGATCGTAAAGAAGTGCGTAAGACAGCTTCGGAGATGTCGTGGGATTCCATCGTAACCTGCGCAAAACTAGCGATAACTTCGTTTTGTGAATATGAATCTGTTCTCAAGTTTTGTCCTACGCATATTTTTGGCGTAGGATCGTTTCGTAACTTTGGCCTCTGTTTCCGGATGAAGGCGTCTTTGTGACTAAACCTTTTAAATTGGGTGGCAGCATGTTCAACATTGCCTGTGTTTTCGACATGAACGGTATGACATTAACGGGTTGACATCAACGTCTTACCAACATTTAGGTCAAGCCCTTTTAATAACATTACTACTTAATGCCGTAATTCATGAAACGGAAGAGCCTTTTTTGTAACTGGGTGCGCGCACCTCCCGCCCCATGGATTCCAAGTTCCGGGCAGTGCCAGTTGTGAGCTAATTTAGATATTAGTAGGTCGCGTCACGGCAGTGCATTGCCGCGTTCGCTCGCGTTGCTCATGGACGCTGAACAACGGCTGTGCTAAAAAAAAACATTTACTTGGTTGGACCTCCAGTAAAGGCTTCGTACCTTGGAGTTTCAAATCAAATGTAGGAGAGCTTATGTTAGGAAAACAGGTTGTTTACTCCGGTGTAATCATTCACCATACCCTGGTGTGATGATGTGCGAAATAGTATTAGGTCGTCCGCTCGTCGTCTTCTTTCTTGGCCTGAACGATATCACAAATTGACAGCGTTGGTTTGGGGGTAACATTTTGAAAATAACAGGGACGGTTGTATATGTATACCGTAGCAGGCTATTTCCAACTCCAGAATTAGTATTTCGACGCATTCAGAACATGTAATTGTCGACAGGTGTAGATGTTAAATTCTGCATCTTCTCTCCAGCGAACAGCTTATTGTTTTCTCAAACGACTGAGATGTGTTTTACTGTCACTACGACATGGTTAAGATATAAAACGAAATAAAATTAAACGAAAGTTTTACCGAATTAACATATTGTATTTGATAAAACATCCGTAGACAAGGACCCGTCCTATTTGAGTAAATTTCGTATCTTGAATGATCCTTTGATATATATGAAGGCGGTTTCCCTCACACTCTCATCGACTGGCGGTTTAGCAAATTCATCTAGGTTTTTGCCCATCCGTTGGGGGAAACGTTCTCGGCATGCACGAACTTTGATGAAATTACATATTCGCTAGTAGGCAGCAGCATCCATTTGGCACCAGCGAATTCCGTTTTCTCCTCAAGAACGAGTGGGAATGGCCGCCAGCCTTGCAAGATGACTTCACGTGCAAGACAGCCCTGCGTTTTTTAAGCTGTCAGTTACTTTAGTAACTATTTTGCTGGTGATTTCATCACGACAAATTAAATCAACTGACCTAAAGGTTCAGTTCACCTGAGGCTGTGTCACAGGAAATTCTTTTCCGAGATGAGTATTCCGTATGGGTTAAGAGGTTATTTTAAAATCGAAATCGGCCAGATAAAGCTTAGCAGACGTGTTTGTCCCTAACAACGCTACGTATATTTAGAATAAAAATTTCTCGTCTCAGCAACAGAGAGAATGAGCAAAAAAAATTATGATTGGGTTTACGGACCACTTGAGGAGGGAGTGTTGAATATAATTGGGACCAAGCGATGTCACAAATTAATTGCGGGCGAACGCTACGAGGTGATGGGACCATTCAAGCAGCGTCAAAAGTGCAAGACACTGGGCCGTTTTGATTTATGATTAGTTCAACGATGATAGAACACGTATGGAAACATTACGAGCACCACGACGGCGCGCTTTTGAAGCTGTCTGATTGGTTCCCTCAGCTCGGACCGTCGGCTGGTTCTGGATTTTAAGGTAAAGGAAGTGTAATAGTTTCTAACAACTTTAAAAAGAAAAAAAAAAAAAAAAACGGAGGATGTGGCGACTTTTTTTAATCCTATTATCGCCATACAGCCAATGAGATTGCCGCATCACCCGATGAAGACGCCGAAGAGTCAATCACGAAGCAAGAAGCGTGAACATAAGAAGCCACGCTCTGTGCCTCATAAGCTGTGCAGTGACCATAATTCCTATCACCGCGAAAAGTTAGTAGCAGTCTTACGTCGCAGGAATCCTTGCCTCCCAATGCAAAGCCAGCGCAAAGGTTGGTGTCCTTGACAGGACGCCGGTGCAGTTTTTTGCATCTTCTAAGGTTGAACAAAGGAAGCTCTAGTACCTGCAGTACCTCCGCTTGTGGACTTTCTGTCGTAGAAAAAAAGAAAGAAATAAAGACGGTGATTCGTATATCCTCTTAACGTGGGGAAGAAGCATCTAAAATATTGAATTCTACACCTCAAATGTAATAAAGTTTGTTTGGATTGTTGTCTACTCTATTTGACAATTTCTGAAGAAGTTAGCGCGTTACCAGATCCCCCTCTTTTTGAGAGACGTTTTGACCAACCGGTAACAGTGCGTGAGGAAAGACAACAAATAGTTGGCGAAATAAAAGGCAGAGCACCGGAGTGAACAGGCATCGTGTTTATTTATAAACGCTTTCGTGACTGTTCGGGTATAATATTTCGTACACGCTCTCTTATGGCAGACCTTGCTGAGTGAATTTGGCCCGTCTTGTCTATATTTTCAATAATTTGCTTAAGAATCGAAATTTGGGCAAGTTTGCACATAACAATAAATAAAACCTAAAACAGCAAAAAAAAAAAAAAAAGAAGAAAAAATAAAGACTGACAAACTCGATAAAAAAGCCAAAAGATTTGCCCACTCCATCCACTTTATCATTGTGTTTTTGGTGCGTTTGTTTTCATTCAAGTATAATTATCCTTAGCTACCATTCCTTTTCACTCTCCTCACTTTGGATGTGAAACCATCACTCCACGACTAATATTTTTGAGTCTTCAACGTACGATAATCAACCAGAAAATCTGGACCTGTATTCTTTTTTTTTAAATGTATTATAACCGCAGAAATAAAATGCTGAAAAATTATATCTCTGTAAGATACAAGACAATAAAGATTTAGAAAAATGAGCAACTACCAGTGGATTGTTCAGATGCTGATGAGGAACGAAAGAAGAAGAGAGTTTGAAAAAGGTAGAGAAAGATCAATTTGAGAATACGACAACTAGCCTGTGCTTTTTATTGGATGAGCTCTCCGGGTTATTTCTCAAACAACATCTATAAATGACTCGTTGTTTTTCACAGTCCTAGTGACGTAGGGGGGACAATTTCTAGGGCTTAACGGTTGCTCCTTCTCTGCGTTTTCAGCGGAGTTAGACCTTAGAAATACCAAGAGCTGCTACCTTGTTTCCGGATATAGTAAAAAGGCAATTTCAAGTGTCCAAACTTCGCACTACGCGCATTTCTTTTCTGTTATACGTAGTACTAATTTGATGAAGGTGATGGAGAAATAAAAAGAGTGGCGGAAAAAAAAGTGTTCATGTTAGAGATCTGAGAGTTATCATTGGGACCTTAAAAACAGTGGTTTTGGTCTATAATGAAGTTAACTTTTAAATAAAACGTTTTAAAAAATGGTATCTGAATGTCTAAATTCCGTGCTTACTAATTTAAATTAGTATAGCTTTGCACTTAGTCAACAATCAACTGGACGAGCGCTCGTTCATGTGTATGTGTGCGCCTTCTTCGTCTTTGTGTTTTTAGCGATTTTAATACTTTTAAGTGAACATGAACCAACAAGCTCAAACCAAAGTATTAATCCTTGTCACGTGTTTTGCTTTTGACGAAGTCAACTTAGGAACGGTTAACTCTGGCCCTGTCGACTGTCGACTGGAAAACACAAATAAACGACAAGACATCGACAATCGGCGGAACATAAGGGATCGTATTACCCTCGAAAAAAAGCCACTATATCCACTGATACGATGAGAACGGCCGGGAAGAGTTTCGGATGATCCAGCTTCAGAACAGCGAGCTTTTTACCCTGCCGCTTTCTCCTGGTCCGTGTTTACAGTGTTGCAATCAGTGTGAACGCATAAGGACATTCAATATTTAAACCGTCAGAGGCATCGTCATTGCAGTATGTTCCTCGTTGCCGCCGTTTGTCCACTGATTTTTGTGAGATAAAGCACACATTGCACTTTGCTTCTCTTCTAGGGCGGGGTTAACCCTAGTTGAAGTTGTATTACGACGCCACACCTCTGAACTATTCTCCACATACTGACAAATATGTCCGCTCGCCAACTTTCTTGCAGAACACACCAACGTCACTGCGATTAAAGCAGGGACTTCGGGGAAGGACCAGGCTCTCAAAATGGGAAGTAAAACTTCAGATTCGTTTCCAAGGGCAGATATTTTTCTGAAACTTAAGCTATTTACTCTGTGCCAAAATGAAGATATATTTTTTGGGTGAGAATGTTTTTGATCAGTGTCCAAGTGCAGATATTATCTACGGATAAGAAGGTTTTATATTAGTGTCCAAGTTCAGATATCATTTCTGGGTAAACATTTTGAAATTAGTGTCCAAGTGCAGATACCATTTCTGGGTTAGAAGGGTTTAATCACTGCCCAAGTGCAGAAATCATTGATGAGTAAGACTTAAGGTTTCAGATCAGTATCCAAGTTGAGATATGATTTCTGGGTAAAATGTTTTATATCGGTGTCGAAGTACAGATTTCATTTCCGGGTAACAACGTTTTGGACCAGTGTCCAAGAGGAGCAATCATCTCTGAATAGGTTTTAGATTAGTATCCAAGTGCAGATGTCCTTCCTGGGCATTGTTGGCGGTAACGCGTTACAAGTAACGGGGTTACTGGCAACGCGCTATTTTTTTCGCTAACATGTAACATACTCGTTACATTTTTAAAACTGTATCGGGTAACGTACTTACGTTACTTATTTCGAGTAACGGGTACCGGATTTACGGTACTCGTTACTTTCTCTTCCCAAGACTTAAAAAAAGTTACACTCAAATTTTTTCGTGGTGTAGGCTCCAAGGCAAATGAACTTTTGAGTGTTCTTTGCCTCTTTTTGCGTTTTTTTTTTTGCGAGTATTTATGGCGAAGCCGGAAAAAATATAAAGTGATTATGTTCAGCTTTTGTATGGACATAATGTTTCTTGAAATATGGCGCTTATGAATACCTCTAACGTCCGAACAGAAAAACGTGTTACTCCCTAATTAAAAAAAATACCGTAAAAATAACGCGCGTTACGTTTTATCGGTAACGGTTACGTGATTATTTTATTTTGAAGTAACTTAGGACGTTAACGCGTTACTTTTATTTGCAAGTAACGAGTAACGTATTTCGTTATCTTTTTTCGGTAACGCCTACAACACTGTTTTTGTCTGAAAGGTTTTTAAACGGTGTCCAAGTGCAAATATTGTTTCTAAGTAAGAATACTCGCTTGGCCTCGCCATTTTCTAGGATTTTAAATTTAATTGCGGTGATTTTTTTCTCAACGTGTTTCGCGAAGGCCTGTAGACGCACGAGATTTTCATTTTTGACTGCAGGCTCAGCGCCATTTGAGATACTGGTCCGAGAACCATGGCTGTTGAACCACAGCGCTAGCACTACCGTGTGAGCACAGTGATTGAGTGGCCATGGTAATATGACACTTTGAAAAGACAGGATTTCTCGCGCGTCAGTGATTCAAGGCCGCGTCGGTTTGCCGATTTCTTTCGGAAGGCGAAGTTGCCTGTTCATACTCTCGGCAACGTATCCAAAACCGGACACCAGCGCCCGGCCTTGCGGCTGGAACCCGGGGGGTGGGAGGCAGATGGTGTTCACGTATCCGTTGAGCCTCTCGAGCGGGACGCGGTCTTTGAGTCGGATGAGCGCAATGTCGTTGAGAAACGTGGCCTCGTTGAACTCCGGGTGAATGAGCAGAGCGGACGGCGACGTGCGCCACAGGGAGTAGGACGCAAACGGCATGCGGTGCACGCCCAGCCACACTGTCAGGTCCTCGGCGGTCCGACTGCGCACATGGAAACGAAGGCGCGGGACATCAGCAGGCCGCATTCACGCTGCTCGTATACCGTACAAAAGACAGTGTTCACCGTAGGCACAATGAATGAGGGTATTATCCACGGACAGGCATCAAGCATTTTCGAAGCGTGCTTGCTTCTCACACATGCATGCTTCGAACATTCCTACAGACGGATTTTGTAGGATGTGTTGGCGGTGCGATTGAGGCTTGAGTCTAGTCGCACTATTCGCAACCTCGGGCATGTAATCGCCTTTCTTCTCTTTCGCATATCGGCCACCAGGCCCCACTAGGCTTTTCTGCACGCTTGGATAGGCCGCAGCTCCCCGCTCCTCTCCTTTACGTCTTTTCGTTTGCGACCTTCAGATCACCCCTCCGTTTCGCTCCGACATTTCATTATCTTGCACCGGTGCACGCGTCGGGCTTCATCGCCTTGCTCTGGCGTGCTAGGAGCAGCGGCTGACGCGGGGCAGCAGCTTGGTTAGCTACATGGGCCCAGAAACACTGTACCTCTCTTTGGTCTACGTTCTTCAGGTTATTTATTTATTTATTTATTTGCATACCTACATCGCCTGAAGAGGGATTAGAGTAGGGAGGGGCACAGACATCAAATTTGTACACTACAAACACAAGGTGAAAGACAATCATCCAAGAAGTAAATAATATACAACGGTAGTTAGAAGTAACATTGAACCAGGGATGGGCAGTATTTCAAATACAAGTATTTGAAATATGTATTTGAAATACTTTCTGTATTTTGCATTTGTATTTAATTGCAACTTGGGTAATGTATTTGACGTGTGTATTTAAATACTAAAAGGTGGGTATTTCAGATACAATTGTAATTAAATACAATTTTGTGGGCGAAAATACATCCCTCAAATTTATTGTCACGACTCAATTCGCTCATCCTAAGACGTGTCCAGTGCAGGAAGAAAACTACGTTCTGCGCCGATTGCAGTGTCTCTCAATCAAGCACAAGCGTTTAGTGACTTTGTGGTTACGGTGCTAGTCCAGGGCAAGAATAGTAACGAAATCGACGTTCGCAGGCAGACTGGTTAAATAAGTGCCTGTGACAACTTGTGATGCTTTCCAGCTTGATTTACGTTCTAAATGCACGGGTCCTCCAGATTTTCGTAACTGGTGCGAGTTGCAACAATAAAAAAATTCTCTAGCTAGTGCTGCGCGTCTTGGCCGTCTCGGTTCTTTGTTGGTCTATACCAAAATGTAATCGACAAAAAAAAGCTGCTTGAAGCTCTGTACTTTTTTCACCTATTACGTCCAAGCGGATTACATTTCTTTGTGATTATATTTCTATTACGTTACTAGAGCCTCGCCCACTAACTCCCGAGTGTGCGATGTAAAATTAAAATGAGATACCCAGAAACCCGTTGCAGGTGCCCTGAAGTCGCTGACGCAAATTTTGAGGAATGTATTTGGAAAAGTATCTGGAGGAGACCAAATACATTTGGTTCTATTTGTATCTTGTACTTAAATGCTTTTTTGGAAATGTAATTAGATTTGTAATTAAATACATTTTTGCTGAAGTATTTTGTATTTGTATTTCGATACATCTTTCCATGTATTTTGCCCATCCCTGCATTGAACCTTAAAAAAAAAAGAATTAAGCTCTGACAATGCCGTTTCAACAATGTCACTGCAGGTTACTTCAATCTTCGATGAACCACGAGAAAAAAGAGCATTTGAAAACAGCAGTTCTGCAGTGAAATTGACAAATTTGTTTTACAATTATAGACTGACCTATCATTTTAAATAAAAGCTAGAACACAAATAACGGTCAATATTTAAGTAAACATGATAGCTCTCCACAGGCATGAAAATATATGTTAAACAAAAAGCCGCGTGAGAGTTAATTCTAACTAACCTATTGGCCCCCAAAAGCGTCATGGGTTGTTACATTTTCCCGAATGATACGTTTTCTTATCGAGGACTCCAGAAAACGCATCGACGGGGTCATGATACATCTATAGACTTTAAATATAGGCATTCATATGTAGGATAAAGCCTGTCTTTGCGTAGGTACCTGCTTTTCGATGGGTCAACCTGACCGGGAGTAGATGGCTGTTCAAGGTTATGCAGGACGTTTTTGTAGGCTTCGCAGATTTGTTTGAAATATTTGTCATAGCTACACTAATGCGGTCTGAGCAGGTGGGGTATCTTCTCAAGAGGACGCAATATTGGTAGCTAAGAGTCAGGATAAGCCGAAAAAATTAACTGGAATTGGTTAATTTCATTTTTAATTAGTGAAAATAAACATATGCTTTCGATATGAAACTCGCTGAGCGTCATCAAAAACCGCTAAGCCAATATCCTTAGAAATCGTTGGAGCGAATGGAAATTTCGGTAGTGCGCTAAGGTCCCACTCTTGCAACAGGCGCAAAGCTGACGGTGGGCAAACGCGAATGACAAGAGACGGAAAAACCACGCGGTCGCGTTTCCGCACTCAGAGTCTATGGCCTGTTGCACGAGGGAGAACTTTAGAGCCCCGCTGTGCTTCCCACGCGCGCCAAGTCTTTCTAAATTTGCCTGATGTATAAGTTTTTGATGAGGCTCAGCAAGTTTCTGGCTGGTATCATATGTTGATCTCCACTAACTCTAAGGTTAATTATAAATTGGTATTTATTAACCAACTTATCTTCACGATTAGCCCTCTGTTTTGTGTCCCCCTGGAGGTATAACTCACCTGCATAGAACACAATTGTTTAGCTCGACGGTTGGAAAAAAAGAAAAGGAAAAAAGCTATACGTAAAGTCTAAAGTCAAATTTGGGGATTTTACGTGCCAAACCAACGACGGGCATCTGGAACGCCCCAGCGGAGGACTGAGGATTAATTTCGACCACCTGGGGATCTTTTGACGTGCAACCGAAAGCTCGGTTACACGGCGCCTCCTCCGCAATAAGCCTCCGTCATATTGCGGACACCTCGGTCGGGATTATGTAAAGTCTAAGAAAAAACCTGTATAAAGATTATAAGATGTTTGATCTTTAAAAAATGCGCCAGGCCCGCAAATCATGGTTTTATGTTTTTCTTTATCTAACTAGACTTGACGTGTTCCGCAACTTGCCACTTTCAAAACCTCACTAACAGTCACTAACAGGGACTTTGAGCCCAAAAGCATTTGAGTGGTATTTAATCGGCCTGGAAGTTACCACCGGATATGTTGGAAACCACTCGTTGATCAAAGCTGAAACTGAACCCGGTGCATAACCCGAAATGCTCTCGGCGCGACCAAACAGCTGTACATATTTGCTGCGTGGACACCAGCAGAAATCTCCAACATATTTGTGGTTCTGACCTTTTATTTTATGCTTGCCAGATTTGTTTTAGACGTTAAGCAATGGTCAAACATTTATTTTTGATCTTATAACACCAGTTGCGACAGTATTTAAGCCAGTGAGTTTTAATAAAAAGACAATACGTCAAATTGATAACTAACGCCATTTTAGGTGGTCGCCGTCTATATTTGAACACGGGCCTCTCAAATTTACAGATATCGTTTTGTTTCACTTATCATGAATATTGGTGTATGTCTTAATATTCCACAAAGCAATGTAAACAACTTTAAAGTTTGAATCCACATTGCAGCTCGACAGGCCTCCGCCTATTGAGCAGAAATTTGCATTCCAACGATAGTGTTGAAAACATTTTTACGGGGGATAAAATGTATAGGTTAGAAAAAGAAAAAAAGACATGTTCGTAGCTACGTTTTTGCTCCTGTGCATTTGAATGCGCAGTTTATAAACTCGAAAGATATGCTGCAACCAGTTACTCAGAAGCCAAAAAATGCTTAGGAACTTCTCGCTGGAAGCTAAGCGCGTAGGCGTTTTTAGAGTGTAGATGAAGTTGCTCAGACCAGACAGTGTGACGTAGGTTGTTGATCATACTTACAGGAAGGCTCCCCAGTTTATATTTCTTTCCGAAGCAGCTTGCAAACTCACCTGGCCAAGCCGTGTCCACAGGACAGGACGTAATTTTCTGTGATGAGGCTGCCACCTGCTAAGAATTTGTTCCACATTCCTGTGCCGTCGGTCTTCTCGGTCACTGCAGCCTGGCATCGAAGAGGAGCCTCATTGGTGTTCAGTTGGCGCTTTCCATTGTCTCTTATAGTTCTATAGGGTTTTATATGGGCATGTTTTTTCTTTATTTTTAAGCTGACCGCTTGAACCTAACTTGCTGACGTTGCGAGTATACCGGGCATTTAAATCTCCGGACCCAATGGTAATTGTGACATTTGCCTGAGAATGCCTAAGAACGAATCACCAAGCGAGACGCTTGAACATAATAAACCAGACTCAGCGTTTGTTATGCTGTCAGTGACTATACATACCTACTAGTACTACTACTACTACTACTACTACTACTACTACTACTACTACTACTACTACTACTAATTATAATGAACATAAATCACCGATGCCCCTTGTAATGTCTCCATCTCGGTTAGCCCCAGTATAGCGAATTTTAGGTTGGCATAGCTACGGTTGAGGTGACATAGTTACGCTTGACTTTAGGAACCTCTACAGAATGGAAAGGCTGGATTGCAAGGTGACTGTGTCCCTAAGAGCTGATGAAAAAGGTACGAGCGCTTTTGCGTTTTGCTTCTAGCCTAGTCATCACCTAGTATATAATGCTATAAACTAACCTAAAAGTTTGAACGAGTAAATATGCCCCCATCTTTGCAATTTAAAAATATACCAACATTGCTTCTTCAGCCCCATCGCAGCGTTCCTTCCTATGCTGGAGGTCATTAGTAGTTTTGAGAAAAATTACAAAATCAGTTTTCTGCAATGCTATTACGAGGCAAGTTCGAAACAAGTCTAATTACTTTAAAAAATAAACCGTATTCGCTCGAGTACTAATAGCCACTCTTATGAACGAGGCCCTTGCCTCTACTTGCCTGGAGAACACACATACAGCGAACCATTGTATTCTCATTAAAAAAAAAAAAAAAAACGCAGCAAATAAAGAGGTCGAGAACATGCTTCTCTGTTAACAATCCGATCTGAGCACGTGACATTTTCTCGTGAAGGAATTATCTCTGACCCGTAAATCTCGTAAATTTTTCTGCCAATTGCGGTGATTCGTAATCCCCGTGATCCGCGGGAAAGTAGACCCATAGACTTTGTTCATAAGCAGCGAGGCTATCACTCGAGCAAATGTGGTATTCAACGCATTTGTTTTTACCGACGGCTAAATCAAACTGTTTCGAATGAATAAGACGTTTAACCGGGCCTCGGCTGGTCACCTGGAGGATATTGTCACGAATGAACAGGCGAGGAAGCAAATAATAACTGGGGAAAAGGAAACGTTTAATGGGGCGAACTTGTGCCCAAAAATAAAAAGGAAACAGAAGATAACATCAGAGCGTCGCGGGCGTCGAAGTCGGCGTAACCGCAGAGTCGAACGCTGGGGCGAGATTCACCGCAGATCGCCACTCGTCCAAGAGTGGCAATCTGCGGTATTGTTTGAAGACCGGTGGCTTCGCTGCGTTTCCATAGGAACTAAACCTTTTTCCTTCTTTACTTTTTCCTCAGGTAAGTTCGCTCTTTGCAAATTTTACAAAAAAAAAAAAAAAAAAAAAAAAACACCGTCTGTGGGCAACGCTGCACAAAGTCGTAGCGCGATAGGTTAAGAAACCGAATTTGGCGGTCGATTTAAAGAGCCTGGCCTCTCCTTGAATCACCCTGTACATAAGCGTTGTAACGGGGAGCGCATACATTCGAGGGCTTTCTTTGCGCGTGAAATGTTGACATCTAAAGTAGTCCCCTGGCCCGGCACCTCAGGCGCATTCATCGATCGCCGAACAGCTATAGCCGCTGACACCTGCAGAAACTCATGAAGTTATTATGCTCACACTTCTTGGTTCGTGATTTGGCTACAGAGCGATGATGACATGCCTGCGGGAATGTCTCCGCCCCACATGTTTTATGCTGTCACTGGCTATTTATAGAGCAGCGTCGGCGCTCTGCTCCATGGGCACCGCCATGCTTGTTTATGCTGACGCCATGCCACAGTAAGGGGGAAGCGTTTTTTGCGAGACTCCGATTTTTTTTTAGAAATGCTCGCATATATCGTGGTGCGAGAACACCAGGAAATGCTTATAGTCACGAAGCTTCACGGACAACAGCGATACCAAGAGTGCTGCAAAAAGCAAAAATCTTGTTTTATGCGCTGCCCCTCTCTTCACATGAGCGTGCGTTTTAGATTATTATTTTCCATTTTTATCGCTGGGTGCTAGGATTTCGAACATGGGTCCATAGACGCTTTGCAGGAGCTGTGAATGGGCGCCGTCATAACCGACCTTCAATTTTTGTTCCCTCTTTTTACATCTACCTCACTTCCTCATTACCACAGCAAGACAGGTTATACCCATTTTAGGTTCTACTCTGTCCTTCTCCCCAGCATAGGCCTTTGTAGAGGATCGTCAACGCCCGCGTCAGTGGTTCGGCACCTTGGTAAGACAAGAGAAGGTTGGCTATGACGGTTCAAACCGGCGTGTGTTGAAGCGTCTATATCCAGTCAACGTTTTTGGAATAAACTGCATTAGAACGTCAACATCTGCCAGTTACTTCACGATCACCTAAATAAAACAAGAACGAACAAGAGCACCATAGGTGCACACAGAAGGAAATGCACAAGGACAAGTGAATGGACGTGGCAGGGCTCATTCGCAACTAACATTTATTGAGAAAAAAAATCGCTCATATAGCCATGGCAAAATGCTATTACCGGTGTAGCGCCCATTCCAAAAATGATATTTTTTTTTGTAAAATCAAAGCAAAAAGTCGGCAATTTATTAAATGACACGTCCATTTCCTTGTCGGCAAAAGAACATACATTCTTAGAACTGAGGGTGTACCGGCGATAGTGATGACCGATCATAGTGCCACGGCTCGCAAAAATCGCCTTCTGCGCACTGCCATCTTTGTCTGCTGGTCTGTAAAATGCCTTCTAAGCATGAGCTGTTGATCCGCTGTACAGTACATCAGACCCTGCGCATGCGTCCGCAGCTCAGTGACTCAACATTTTCACCCGGGTTATAAGCGATGCAAAAGACTATAAGCGATTGGTTTTTCGACAAATTATGAGCGTCCTGGAACGTCCACTCGCTTGTCCTTTTCGTGTTCTTTTGCGCTTTTTTCTAGGCGTTTTCGGAATATTTCGTTTAGCTCCGTACTATTTGAAGAAGCGGTACACGCAAGAAACGCAAATGTGTGTAGAAGAAAGAAACACTTAGAAAGCTTGTACCCTGTCGCACACTGTAGTGGCAACACCTACGGCACCTTCGGCGCTGTCCCTGCATCACAGCTCTCAGCGAAATGATGGTGCTTTCGTACACTTTAGTGTGAATTATTTGCACACGTGTTGTGCTATCACCGGAAATTCTAGTATTGTGACAAATAAAAATACTCAATAACGTTTTTGTTTTTCGTTCCCACTCATTCTGTTGACCACTGTAGAAACGTGTCAAGTTTTAGTTCGTGCCATCCATTCAGAAGTATATCGCGTCAGTGCAAATAATAACCCATCGTCATTTGTTTCGAGTTCTTTATTTGCCGAGTTTCCTGTGTACGTCGCAGTAATTGAACACTGAGACGATTCTGTCACGGAGTTCATTCCAGCCACACGGTTCTATCCCAGTGTCAACTATTTCCTGCCACTTTGTCGAGCCTAGCGTAGCTTCCCCACTGCTTCAATGTGCGAGAGCACGTGCACGTGACTTCCTCTTGCATTTCCACGCGTTCGCACAAGCAGCCTTGACAGGGTTGGAGCACTGCGGAAGCTATGCTGGCCTCGACAACGCAGCATTAAATAGTTGACGCCGAGTGTGGGCAGAGCCCAGTTTATGGTTCTGAGGCCCTCTGACACAACCCGAAAATGAGATACCCACTTTCCAGAAAGATGTAATTTGTGTGCCCATAGTGTGCTTTGCCATAATGAGCAGCGCCAGACAGAGCTCTTAAGGCTGCCTCACACACTTGCGACTGCTTACGACCGAGTGCCGTAGGACCCCTTAGAATTTCTTGCGACGAGAGAACGCACTTACGCCATCTATCGGGTAGACGTGGAACACTTGCAGTTTTCGTATATTTTCTATTTGTTTTTTCACGTATCATTCTTTATTTTTTTTGGCATCAATCAATCAATCAATCAATTATCCAATAAATCAATCGATAAATAAATAAATTAATTAATATAATCAAGAATACATTATATCAGTCAATACATCGATCAATTGACAAGTTAATTAATTACTTAAATGTTTGTTAAACTGCGCATTTACTGTAAGAAGCCTATATCAGGGTCGGCTTGCTAGAACAGCGTCTTGGCTGAAACTGGGTGAAAGAATGGACTGCAAAATCTGGGGCGCGCCGGCGTCTTGAGACGCGGTTTGAGTCCCACCCAGCTCGTGCGCTGGCGTTGACAGTGCTTTCTTTCACCCAGTCTCAGCGGAGACGCTGTTTCTACCAAGCCGGCTCGGATTTCGCGCACCCTAACTGGCATTGAACCTACGAACTGGAAAATCTTGGCGGGTTTATTGTGGAGTTCACGAAATTCATAACATAACAAATGTACGAGCTACACGTCGCCGATGCCCCTTGCAACTCCGGACTGCTAGCGCCATTCAGCGAATGCTGTGTGAAGCCGGACGAGTGTTATGAGAGAAAGGCACGATGTTGTCGCGTCCACCCTCCACGCGGCGCCGCTTGTACAAAGTGAAATGACTTGAACTAAGCGCATATTTTGCAGGCCTTGCATTCTAAAGAATGCCACGGTGTTACGTTTTCTCCAGATAATTATTGGAGACAAACTCCATGATATAAGAAAGAGCGCTCAGTGAATGAGTAAAAGGAGTTTTTAGATATGAAACGTCAAATTGCCATGACTATTCTTTGTTTTCAATTTAATTTTTGTATGAGGTAGCAAAAATGTTCACACGAAGGGAAGGACCTATCTTTTTTTCAAGATATTTTCTTGTTTTTACGAGAAAAAAATTCCGGCTTAAATGAGATGAAACTACGACTTTCCCAATTGTGCGTAGACGCA